GGCAACCTCTGCCCAGAAGCCAGAGTTGCAGGGTTGGGATAGATGAGTTTCATTACCACCAAGTAGATGTCTCGAGGTTCAACCTGCTAAGCCAGAGGGTGACCCATTTACCTCCACAGACCCTGGCTCAGTCGGCACTTCAAGTTAGAAATGTCCTTTCTTCTCCTCTCCTGCCTTCCCCTAAGCTGCCTCTCTCAGCAGAGAAAGATGACTTTCCACCCTAACTCTAGAATAAGGCCACTGCCGAATGCCTACTGCAGAAGCAAGAGATCCTACAGCCCAACCATTGTCTGTGCAGCCTGTTCATACCTGGGGAGCCAGGCCTGGGATCCCAGGTGGCTGCAGAAGAAGCAGGCTGTGGGGAATTATATTGGCAACATCCTTCAGGAGGGTCAGATTCTCACAGGTACATGGGCACCTGGTCGACAGCTAAATAGAAACAATGCCGAAACCACTGGTCACTTGGTTTGATTCTGTCCAGCTGATTATTGTAATTGGATGACAGGTGGATATTTCCCTCTCCTTTTCAATGGGTGTTGGAAAGTGAGTGGACCAAGCTCAGGAGGCATGCTTCTGGGTGGTTATGTAAGGGGGAAGGCTATCTCCTTCCACAGGCAGAACTGTTCCTGCCTTTCGGCTGCCTAAAGAATAAAATCAAGTCCAACCAAAGTCAAACGCCAGGAAATTTCAGAACTTCCTCACATTCCATATTGCATTGTCTACAAAAGTCTTTGAAATTCTCCCTGCTCCAATACTCACAGGGGATACAGAGTTGAAGAATGAATTAGAACAGAACGAACTACAATAGGGGAAAAGAAAGAAAGCAAGAAGAAAACTAGTGAGGAAGCAAGAAAGCAAAAGAAAGCAAGCAAGCAAGCAAGAAAGAGAGAGACAGAAAAAGCAAGAAAGCAAGAAGAAAGCTAGCAAGAAAGCGAAAGCAAGCAAGCAAGCAAGCAAACGAGAGACACAGAAAGAAAGAGTGAAAAATGGCAGGATTTCTCATTTGGGGATGCTTGTGGCAAATAATGTGTAATAAGGAGAATAGTTTTGTTTTGATAGAGTTGCTACGTTGAAGTTCTTTAAAATGAGCTGTAGATTCAGAATTTTGTAATGCTGTAGATGGAGCCCTCTTCTGGAGAAATTTTTCAACAGGTATTATAAGATCAAAACGCACAGAGATGTATACACTCACTCAGATGCGCACACAGAAACACTGTTGGCTACTTAGATGATATGATTGTCACTCAAGTGTAAATTAAATACATAGTTTGTCCTTTTCCTTACCTTCCACTAAATATAAATTAACTAGACTCCCCGAGCAATTGTATTTTTGGAAGGAAATAAGGATGTTTTCCAGAACCTAGCTATATTTTACTCTAAACATTGAACTTCAGATTGAGGCTCAACTTACACATCCAAGTGCTGATACTTTTAGATAATGCAGTTATCGGGTATGTTGGTTTGTTGGGCAATTTCACTATAACACATAGAGGATACTTCTGGAAGGAAATAGATTTTACTTAATGGAAAACCCAAGGGCTAAAGATAGAAAAGGGGAGAAGGGAGGGAGGCAGAGTAGGAGCGATCAGCTAAGATGACTGTTGGGGCTTTTAGTATAGACTGTGGAATTACACAAATTCCAGATTACATACTCAGCTTTGCAGTTTATTAAACCTCTTTTGGGACTTGCTAAAAAAAATATTCAGACAGGTGAACTCTGTCACTGACTCCTTTTACTACATATTCCGTTTCCCTAGTGCTCTGGAACTCTTACAGGCTGTCATGTATCAACCCTAGGGGGGCAGGGGACAGCACTCTCTTCAACCCTGTGTCTTTTTCCTCATCCAAAAGGTTCTGCAAATAAACACTGCTCTTAAAACATAACACACAAATTTGCAGGAGCACTACAAGACACTGATTCTCATTGAAAATCCTGAAAATCAAGATTCTGACTCCAAGAGAGAACTCCCCACTTTATAGCGAAATCTCAGAATTCCATGGAACATTTTTAGTCACTCCCAAGTGACTGTCCTCCAAGCCTGAACCACTCCCTAAATTCCTAATTCTTGGGGGATTACTCATTCATTGTTAGAACTCTTGGTTAGTTGTAAGTGCTACCCAAATAGGGAGGGGAATCACATTTACCACGGAATTTTTTGCTCATTTCTTTCTTGATTTGTTTCGTACTCATTACTTATCATAGGCAAATTCCAGAGGCCACTTCTGGGACAGACTTCCCCAAAACACCCCAGGGGATAGGAGAGGTGAGTGTTCAACGGTGCCAGCTTCCAGTCATTGATGCTTAGAATTCCTCACCTCCTACCAAAATGCATAAAACAACAAGCAAGCCAGTAGGCTTACAGAGATTGATGGCTTCCAAAGCCAGACCCAATGCTTTACAACTGTGGTGGAAAAAAACATACAGGCTTGCCGGAACACCACCAGGGCCGAGTGACTAATTTGCTTTATTACATTGTTTTTCCCTTCTGTTTTCTCTCTGCCTCAGGAAAGTTTTGTTTTTACTTGTCGACTCAAAGGCTTCAAGACTTTCCTCACTTTTTTCTATGGCACACAGAGCTCTGCAGTGGAACTTCTTGCCGGTTAACTGGATTGCATCAAAATGATTTTTCTGTGAGGTACTATTGCTACCGGGATATCCATTACTATCCTAATGTGGACATTTGCTCTGATATGCATAACAATTGAAAATAGAAATAAGCCTCTCAGGGCAATCATTTCAATTCACAGCAAAATCTCTGCTTCCTTCGTCTAAATAAATAGAGTGAGCCTTCAGAACCCACCTGTGCCAGCCTGGCCCTGGGTGAGGAGACACACCAGTTCATTTGCAAAAAGAACCATGCACAGAGCCCTTAGTGCATAAAAATCGATCTTGGGGCCCTGTCACGTGGTCTGTCTTGCTCTAAAGGCGGCATAACTTTGGGCAAGCCCTGGAATCTGACCTGAGGTTGAAACCTGCCAAGAAAAAAAGAGGACTGTGAAGTCCTGGACAACGCAATGGTAAGTGCTCTCAGACACCCACAGCTCCCAGAGTGGCATGCATTGCATAGGACATCCTGTTGAATGCAATCCTATCCACTCAGCAGTCCTAGGAAGGCAGCAGATTATTTTACAATGGAGAACTTGGAAGCTCAAAGAGGTTAAACAACTTGCCCAGGATGGTACCACTAGCAGATGGCAGGAAGGATCTGTCTCAATCCTTTCTGTCTGAGGCATGCTCCAAACCGCCTTGCTAAACTGGGGTATATGTACACACATACAGCCTTAGGGGTCTTTAGGGTACAGGACATCTGGAAAACTGGTTCACAGCCAGGCTTGGGATCCATGGCAAGACTCAAGATTGTAGAGACCCCAAGATAACCAACCAGCAAAGCCTGGTAGAAAAGGAGCTATAACTGGGCAGTCCTCAATGGGGACTATATATCCAAGAAAGAAACAAGTCAGGAGCATGGGAGCGGGCTCAGCAGCCAGGCACTTGAATCTCCCCTGGTACTATCACCCATCACTGCATTTCTGAGACGTTAGCCCATTTCCAAAGTCTCACCCCAACATTGCTCTAGCAGTGTCTCCCGTTAGAAGGCTGCTCCTGTCTCCCTATCCCAGACAGTCCCTACCTGGGACCCCAACTCCCTTCCCCTCCCTCTCACCCGAAAACTCACACCTGAGGCTCTACCCCAGCCAGGAACTCAACACTTATTCCTAGCACCCTGAGGCACTCCCTGTCTCTTTCCCTCCTCTCTGCCCGGCCCTGCCCTGCCCTGGCTCCTATCCACCCACTTGAAGGCTGCCAGCTCACTCCAAGTCCCAAAGCCTGACAGAGAGGCGATGGGGGACTGGATCGGGTGCTCTCCGAAACCACAGGCCCCCGAGCAGCGCTGGGCGTGCCCCCTACAGCCGCCAGCACCCCAGGCCTGGCCTCGGAACGCTGCTTTCCTGCACTCAAACTTCCCGAAATCTCTGAGATGCAGAGGTGATTGCAGGCTGACCGCGTCTCCCTCGCCCCCTCTCCTGGTTGGCGGGCCCTTCCCTCGCGCCGCAGCGCTCGGAGGGTTAACAGGCAGCTGCAGCCCGGGTGGGCAAGGCTTGAACTTTTCTCTGCGCTCCGCTCCCGCCCAGGGAAGGCAGCAGAGGCGGCAGCCCGGGATCAGGCCGGAGCTCCAGCTGGCTGGACCCAATGCTTTACAACTGTGGTGGAAAAAAAC